TCTTTACTTCGATTAATAGATGTTCTTGATTTTCTTTTAAATAATCAGCCAGTGCATGTTTTTCTTCTTCTACTGTTTGCTTCACTTTTAATAATCCTCTGATTATTCTGGGCAGGTATAGTCTATCAGTATCACCACGTGAATGTAAACTGTAATGCACTGTCATTAGTTTCCTGGTTTTTCGGTCCAAAATGTCCAAATCAGCTTGTGTCCAGTTAACTATACCAGCTGTGTATCTTATAACTGGTATTGTCCAGGTATTTATGGTCTTGATTGTTGTTGTTGTTGTTGTTGTTATAGGTTTTTGTATGGCAATAATGCCTTTCAAATATATTTGGCGGGATATACATTTCAAAATGAGTAAAGTATTAGATATTGTTTCTTGCAATAAACCATGTTTATCAGAAGATAACTGCCCCATTGTTTTTAGGTAATTTAACTTAGTTTCAATTCCCTGTGTTTTTGCTGAACATGTAGTAATTTTTGCAATTCTTGGTATTATTGTGTACTTATAAATTACTTCCAAGTAATAATTATAGAGTAAGAACTATTAATTATGTTATTTCTTCTATTTAGTTACTTAATGCTATTTATAATCTGCCCCATTCCTCAAGGACTTTCAGCAGCTAGCAAACACTGAACTCAGTGGAATAGATATCTGAATGGATATGCATATTTTGATGTCAGTAATTTATAATTTTTTGTTGTCTTTCAATTATTTTTATCATTCTTGTCTAAACATTAATCAGCATACATAGCACACGAACCAGTCAAAGGATACATGCCACATAATAAATCTACATAATATTGCTTCAATGTAAATATTTTACAGATTTCAAAAAAAAGTAGCAATTGGTGGATTGCATTGCGTTCAGAATTACCCAGTGAAGAATTTCGGTAAGATTGCCATATACATTTTATTTTCTCTGTACTATCTTAGAAATTACTTCTCATTTTAATATAAAAGCAGCAAACCTGGACCCAATTGCAACTATATCCTATACAGTTGTATTGATAATATAGAAGCTGGCGTATTTTTTGTATCCTTTCTTTCTGGCAAAAGTAAGAATTCTAAATCCGATTTCCTTTTGGTGAATTTGGTGGATTTCTCAGTGTTTTTCCATTTATATATCTTAAAATGTATAGAAATAGATACAGTGAGATTCAGGTTCAGAAAGGTTAACAATGCTATAGATAGACTATACTGCAATGGAATTTGTAATTAGTAATCATGATTGCTCTGATTCCCCTGATTCATTCATTTACTTATCCTTTTCGAGTGCACATAGATTTAAATTCCATAACACATAGTGGTGGTTATGTTTCAAGAACTGCGTACATTATTGCAATCCTGATAAAATAGGCAGTCATTAATGCTAAATGTACTATAAATGAAAAACCCCAAATAAAGAGTTTTTAATTCTGTTTCAGGTGTATTTAGGAATGAGAAATACAGATTAGATAAATTCTTCCCCAAATGGGAAGGATCTATGATCTTGGAGGATTTCAACCTGCTTTCCTTTGGGAGCGATGTCTGATGTAGCTTAGGAGTCAATAACATGGCATGGCATGGCATGGCATAGAATAGAATAGAATAGAATAAAATAGAAACAGGAGCAGAATAACAGAGGTGGAAGGGGCCTTGGAGGTCTTCTAGTCCAACCCCCTGCTTAGGCAGTTCATCACCTGCATGACAGCCATGTGCTAGGTCATCCAGAGCCGAACACAGGACAGTGGTCACATATCTGATCTGGTTTTCCTGTCAGAAAAGCAGCAAAGTGATCTGAACTTTAGCTCTAACAGAGTGCTTGCATCATGTGATCTTAACTTCAAAAGCCATTTCTTATAATTAAATACAATCTAAATTTTGTTTGCAGATGGACAGATGGATCACCATTATTGTATCAGAACTGGGCAGGAGATAAAGTGAGACCGAAGCCAGTTCAAGGGCAAAAATGTGCTTTTATTTCTTCCCAGACAGGTACATGTTGTACTTGGTTCTTATTATTTCAAATTATTTAAGGAAACATTTGATGAGGTTGCATAATTATGTTATTTTATTCCGAATCGTCTTTGCCTATTGCCATAGATAAGAATTTTTCTAACTACTGCAATGTTTGAAAGACACTGAAAACCTGGTTTTTGTACCAGACATTGTTTGGTGTTGTATTGTCACTCCAGGTTTGGGACACTATTTTTAAATTTTTAGATTGCTCTTATTTTTAATTGATAATTGCAGAATTTCATGTTAAGAGGCTGGCCCTATACATTTAAATAACTATCTAATTAAAGTTATCATGAAAAGTATTCCAAGATTGTGCCATTTTTAAAATTGAGAATATTGATTTGTACGACTTCCCCCTCCCCCCTAATATACAGTACAAAGATACCTTTATAATGTATACATTTCAATCCTTGGCCTGTTTTTCTTCAATGGAGAAGTGGCTTCTTTCTTTGTTTTTAACACAAGAATGTCATTTATCATCCAGATCTCTGTCAAAAAAAGTTATTATTTATCATGTGTGTTTATACCACAATGAATACTTACGTAGTGGCTGCTGGGAGTCTTTAATACTATGCAGAATTTGTGCTCCTTCATTCCAACAAGAATATCTTATTACCTTTTATAGTACTGAGTATGGCATGGGAAATGATTTCCTTGGAATAATATTGCCTACACTCGGAATGGTACACATCCCTTTTCCTTCTTGTGTTTTTCTTGGGCATCATTCAAATCTGCCTTGGAGGATCTCTGCAAAGTAAATTTAAGGCCGTTCCAATCGAATTAGCCTGGGGTTTGGGTTGCTCATCATTCAGGTCCCACAAATCATAGTGGAAATGATTTGAGTAAAATAATTGATTGCTTTTATTTTGTACAGCAGGAGGAACCCAGGAAGTAATACAAGTAGCACTCTCTATATGAAACGGACTGTTGGTTTTTGCTGGAAGCATATTTCAACTTTAAAAAAAATACTGTGGGTGTATTACTCAATGCAGGTCAAAGCCAACTAGTCCTTCAGATCTGCTTCTCTCTCTCTCTCCCTCCCTCCTCCTCTCCAGCCCTCTCTCACCCTCTCCCCCCTCCCCCTCTCCAGCCCTCTCTCACACTCTCCCCCCTCCCCCTCTCCCGCCCTCTCTCTCTCCCCCTCTCCCTCTCTC